AGGCTGCTGCTTGTTTTGTCTTGTTTTTTTTACAGCCCTCTTTATCCGGAAACTAAAAAAAAACAGATCCGAAACAATAGTGACCTAACCAACATAAAAAAGTCCTCATTTCCACGATAACCATGATGTCTCCTCCCACTGGACGTACATGAATCCATTTACAATGGACCAAAATTTCTTATTAAATAGTGACCCAAAAGAGATCTGAAAAATCCTAAAGTTATGAAAAATTGGTACTTTAAAATATTTACTGAAAAATTACCTTCCAAGGCATTCGATCACAAGCGTGTTATTTCTAAGAAGCAAATGGCATTGCTGTGGTACTGCTTTCCCCTCACAAGCTGCCGGCAGCAAGATGGGGTCCACTCCACCCCACTGTGACTTCTGCAGCATGAGCATTAACAAGGCCACTTTCTGCATAAAACATTGGAGATCTCTATCTTCCCCAAGGACTCCTGCAGCCTCTGTTTCATATTCCAATCCTTTTCCAGAGCCTCTGTCCTGCCCTCCTCCTCGGCAACCCCTTCCCTGAGTGTCAGCAGTCCTCACTGTGTCCATCTTCACTTCCCAGCGACCAGGTGCAAATTTCCCCAACTTCATCACAGCCTGCATCCCACACTAGATTTTCAATTTCACTCATACCAGGCAGGAACAAGCGATGCTGTTACGGGGTGGGGGACGGGGGGAACCTTTGAGGAGGAGCTAATCTCATATGGTCAGTGCAGCAGCAAACCTGCACGGCTTCCATCCACAACCTTATACCTGGGGGGCTGCAGATGATGAACACTGAGGAAACAAGGCCCATGCGTGCCACCGTCCCCTTGCAGGGCAGGTCTCGCGCTAACCTCTCCCACGTGTCCCGTGATGTGTATAGGTGGAGACGGGACTGAGAGTGAGGCAACAGGAGTGACCATGCTGTCATCTGCCGTGGGCCCTGCTGGGCTCTCACCTGCGCCCTGCCGCTGGGTCCCCACAAGGACGCACTGGGGGAGGGGGGTCACCTGTGCACTACTTTGTGCCAAGTCAGGCTGCAAGCAGGCTCTGACTCTCCGAACAGAGGACAACACACATGGAGTCCTGCGGGGTGTGGCTAACCATCCTAGGAACGACACGGGTCCAGTTCTCACCAACTTCAGATGAAGAGCTGAACTTTGAGCGAACAGAAGATGTCAAAAAATTCAACACTGCTGAGGGCCTGGAGAAAGGATGCTGCAGGACGGCTGCACACCGCAGGCAGGCCAAAGCCCACACGGAAGCCTGATCAGGGCCCGGCCTGCAAGTGCCTGCCCAAGGCCAGGGGCCTTCCCTCATTCCATTACGCTCTCCCTGGGGCCCTACAGGACACCAGGAAGGATGCAGCGACGCACCTGGGGTCCAAGCTCCCACCCTTCCTCACCTGGGACTTTTCTTTGCCTTTAAGCTGAGGTTTCTGAAGCTGTCAGGACTGACCAGGGCAAAGTATCAATAGCTCTCTGGGCCAGGGGGGATGGAGGTGAGGGCATGTGAGGGTGACAGGTGCCGGAGGCTGGGAAGCGCAGGGCCCAGGAGCCAGTCCGCACCTGCCTGCGTCTCTAAGCCAGAAGCCCAGGTAGAGAGCACATTTCATACCTTTCCCAAAACAAAAGTCTGAGAGTTCAATGGAAACATGGAATAAGAACTAGAGCAGCTCCAAAACAAGCACTTCCCCTTCTGGGCTTCGAGGGTTCCCGTTCTGATCCCCGTCCTCCTCCACTGGCTTCTTCTTCACCTTACTCAGGGGTGAAAGCAGACTGGCAACCTCGTGAGGCCAGGCCACCAGTACACTTTCCAAGGGCAGAGCCCTCCATCCCAGAAAAGAACAAACAGCACAGCTTGCTCCACGGGCCACCCCGCAAACGCCCGACTGGCTTCGGCTGATGCTACTCAAGCTCCCACAGCATCAGGCAACCGCTTATCCTTTCTTGAGGACTACAGACACGGTCCTTCCAGAAATGCCTGTCTTGGGCCTGCACAGTAAGCCTGAGCCACTGCTCATCAACAAGGCTCTTTTCTACTGACCAGGCCAAGGGCTGTCTTATCACAGTTCTTTCCCCTTCTGAGCTACAGATGAGACACATGGTGGTGGCCTTCCTCATCACTCTAAGCTGGTGGCCAGCAGCAAGTTCTAGATAGGCTAATTTCTTGATACCAAAAAGTTAGCTGCTAGAAGCCCAGCAGACCTCCATGGAAAGGATCACGAGGAACATCTCCTCCTCTGACCACAGGCAGAGCTCCACAGTTAAGTGCTACTCTGGCTTACTACTCCTCTGCCCTGTCCCTCCTGAAACTCCGGCCTGCTAGAAGCACTGGGAGTAGCAAACCAAGCGGAGGCACCCCACCCTTCTAAGTGCCTGGCAGGCAATCCTAGCAGCCTCCTCCAGGCAGAAACGGCAATAAGTGGACAGATCCTGAGGGGTACATCACCCACAGAGGCAGGCGAGGAAGGGTGGGCAGCCAAGGAGAAAAAAAGGAGCATTACCAGGAGTACCTACCACTGCACCGGCTCCTAGCCAGGTAAGTTCTGATGTGGAACTGGCTGCTTCAGAAGCTACTCTTCAACCCTACAGGGGGCCTGAGCAGAAATCTCACAGGCCAGCAGGAAGTGGCGGGGGAGGACCCTCAGCAGCCCCCCAGGCAGGGCCCAGAACTGTAGTGCCTGGAAGCATGCTGAGAGTCTCAGGCTTCAGTCTTTAACCTCAGGAGTACCCCCAGAGACACCATCACATGGTTCTAAAGGCCTCAGACCTGACCAAAACTGCTGATGGAGGAGATTATCCCATTGGCAGTTCTGGGAGAGGCCCAGAGACCGGCAACAGTGGTGTAAGAGAACCACCTCGGGCCACTGGAGCAATCTCCACTAGAGGTGACAAATCTGCATGAGGGTAAAGAGAAGAGGCAGAGGATCTGATGAAAGACCAGACTGGGGAGATGGACAAGGAGGAGGGAAGGTCTGCACAGCTGGACAGGACACTGTGCTAGTGTGTGCTGGGCAGGGGCACTCATATGGAGCGCCAGGGTTCAGAGTCAGGATCAAGAGATGGGCGTGTTGCAGGCAATCACTGCCTCAGAGCCTAGCAAAGAACTGGTATTTAGCGGGCTCATTTATTAACAAAAGCAGCAGCAGCTGGGGAGCTTGGGGGCTCAGGTCAGGATCTCAGGCTCCCAGGATCAAGCCCAAGTTGGGCTCCCTCCTCAGTGGGGAGCCTGCTTCTCCCTCTCCCTCTGCTCCCCCTCCTACCCCCCAGGTGTGGGCACTCTCACTCTCTCTCTCTCTAATAAATAAATAAAACCTTAAAAAAAGAAAAAAAAAGCAACAGTAATGTACATACTGAAGCTTACTGGAAACAGGCTCCAGGGCCTGAGTTATCTGCAGAAGGGCATGGTTCCACCGCTGCCAGCTGCTCATGGAGAAAGCAAGACTTGGGACCGACTGGACCCCAAAATGCTCCACAAGTGAAGACCATATGTCTTCCAATTTTCCTAGTGCTAAGACACAGAGTCAGTCCCAGGGACATGATAGGCTGGAAACCTGCAGGTCTCCCCGCCACCCCCCACCCCCCGGCCTCCCCACCAAGGAACTCAGGTATGATGCTATACATCCGGAAATCGCTCCCCACCACCTCTTCTTGGACAGTTAGACAAGTAAGGACTGGAGGAAGAGAAGCAAGAGAATGGCTCCTACCTGGGGCTAAAATGCACACCGGGTCTTCAGGAAATTTAAGAAAGTAACACTTCTAACCCAAACCAGGTGAAACAAATTGTAGGACAAGAAGCTCTTAGGGTTTATCTCACTTGCTTTGAAATAGTATCAACTTAGTATTTTCCAATTTGAATGAACAGATTTATAAGAAAAATGAAGTAATCTCGGGCACCTGGGTGGCTCAGTCCTTAAACGTCTGCCTTCAGCTCAGGTCATGATCCCAGGGTCCTGGGATCAAGCCCCGCATCTGACTCCCTGCTCTGCGGGAAGCCTGCTTCTCCCTCTCCCGCTCCCCCTGCTTGTGTTCCCTCTCTCGCTGTGTCTCTGTCAAATAAATAAATAAAATCTTAAAAAAAAAAAAAAGTAATCTCAGTATCTAGCAATTGCTGGATCTGTAAAACTCTAGCATTTGTAAACAACCCCCTGGAAAATCTTTAGGCAGTTTATCAGGATGCAACTTGCAAAGAAAGTTATGATTTAAGTCTTGAAATACTGACATAAAATCTATGTACAAATGCTTTGTTTCTAGGTGCTCAGAAAAGCACAGGAAGGCAAAGGGCTGGGTAGGTCGCATTCCCACCTGAGCAGCCTCACCTGGGGTGCTTCAACCCCCACTCCCACCCCACCCCTCACCTTCTGTTCTTTCAACCAGTCCCTGTCATTTGTAACTGCACTAAACTGGAAGAGACCTTCTAATCCCCTCTAGGCCAACGTGGAAACATTTAAAATAAACATCTTTCAAAGAACACACGCTACAAACGTTTTTGTTTTCTTTGAAGTCTATCAACTACTTTTAAACAACTAAAAAAGATACTTTCTATGTTAATTTCTGCATAAAATTAAATCATAAAGCCCTCACCCCAAAAAATGACTTCTAAATTCACTGTTGGTTAAATTGTATCACTACCGAAAACAAAAACGAATCCTCTTCCAAAAGGACTTTCTCCGTAGGAAAAAAGTTATCGTTTAACCAGATTCGCCTTCAACTTGATTCAAGTCCCCGGCAATACTAAAACCATCTGCAGCTGGCCTAAACCTCCGCACCCCTCCGCACCCCACTTTGGCAAAAGGTCCCTAACGTATCCTGGGGAGAGGAACAAGGGTGAAGCGGCGACACGCTCCTCCCGCATTACAGGTCGGGTTCCGCCGCCCTTCCCGCCCGTCAGTTTGGGGATCCGAGCAGCAGATCGCTCCCGCACAAGAGCAGTTCAGTTCCTGGCGACCCGGAGAGCCTCCGGCCCGGGGTCGGAGCCCGGCCTCCCCGCGCGGGCCGCGCACTCACCCCTGGATGCCGGGGCTGTACGCGCGGCTCTTCCACGGCGTGCCGGGCCGCGGCGCCTGGGGTCCGGGGCCGCCCCCTCCGCTCAGCGCGGCCGCGCGGCTGCCCGACAGCAGGTAGTTGAGGCCGTAGGTGCTCGCCTTGTTCTCGCGTTTCCGGCGGCCCGGGTGGAACTGGTGCTGCGGCGGGGAGCCGGCGGGCGCGGGGCCGCGCGGCGCGGGGTGCCCGTTGGCCGCGCCGGGGGCGCTCGGCGGGCCGTCGGCGAAGCGGAAGAAGGCGCCGCCGCGGCCGCCGCCCGCCCGGCCGAGCGAGGCGCTGCTCGAGGACGACGACGAGCAGCCCGGGCTCTCGGTGCCCGACTCGGCGTTCGACGAGGACGACGACGACGACGACAGCGACGGCGACTTGTGCAGGCGCCTGGCGCCCTCGGCTGCGGGCCCGAGCGCCGTCAGCAGCGCGGGGGGCAGCGCGGCGGGGCCGGGCGCGGGCGGTGGGGGCGCCGCGGGCGCCGCCGGGCCGCCGCCCGGCCCCGCCGCCCCCGCCGCGACCGCCGTGTCCAGCGCGGGTGAGTTGAGGCAGAAGTAGGACGCGAAGCCCGAGCCGCCGCGGCCCACGCCCTGCGAGGTCTCCCAGATCTGCATCCACAGGGCATTGGCCGGCCCCTTCTGCTCCGGCTGGATCCAGGCCACGCGCGGATCCATCCACGCGCCGCCCCGCGGGCCCGCGCGCCCGCCCGCCCCGCCGCGGCCCCGCCCCCGCCGCGCCCCGAGCCCCGGCCGCGCCGCGCGCGGGCGGACGGGCGGACGGGCAGCCGGGCGCGCGGGCCTGCGCCCTCGGCTCCGGCCGGCTCGCGGCGCCGGCTCCCGTCGCGGTCCCGGCGCGGCGCGGCGCGGGGCGGGCCCGGCACAGGCCGCGGCGGGCGGCTCGGGCCTGTCGGGCTCCCTTCAGGCGGCGCGGGGCAGGCGCGGGGGCCGCGGCGGCGGCGGCGGCGTTCCACACGGGCCGGGGGGGGAGGCCATCGGAGAGGGGCGGGCGGCCGGGCCGAGGGGGCGGGCCCAGGCGCCGCGCGGCCCGGGACCCGCGGGAGGGCCGCCGCCGTGCGCCGGGCCCTCGGTCACGCTCGCGCCGCTCGCTCCGTGCTCCTGCAGCGGTGGCGGCGGCGGCGAAAAGACACTCTCGGCGGCGACAGGGCGCGGGGGAAGGAGGGGGCGCCGCCGCCTCCGCTCCAATGAGGGGCGGGGAGGGAGCGGGGCGGGGAGGAAGCGCGGCCTCCCTCGCCGGGGCCGGGACGTCAGTGCGCATGCGCGGCCGATTTCAAATCCTCACTAGACACGGCCGCCTTGGTTACCGCGCCTGCGCAGTGGGGTGCTCCTCCGGGGGGCAGCGCGTCGGAAGGAGACGCGACTGGGAGGGGCTGAAGGGGCGGCGGCGGCGGCGGCGGCGGCGGCGTGGGTCCTTCTAGACTAGACTTGGTTGCGGCGGGGCGAGGAAAAATCGAGGGGGCTGCTGCGCCGCCGCCGCCTTCGCCCGGCTTCCTCCGCTGGCCCCACCTACCGCCGCCTGGAGCAGGCCGAAGCGTGGAGACATGCGCGCTGGGACCGGGGTCCCCGGCAGCCGTCCGGTCGCGCTGCGCGTGCGCAGAGATGAGGCGCCGCCGCCGCCGCCGCCGCTGCCGCCGCCGCCGCCGCTGGGTGGAAGTTTCCGCACCGCCAGGCGAGGTCTGGGCTCTCGCCCCGGGCCTGGCCCGGGGGCCGCCCGCTCGCGGTACGTGTGGGCTGGGCCAGCACGGACCGCGGTCCGGCCGCTCTCCCAGGAAAAGGGCAAAGTGCGCCAGGCTCCCTGCTGTCCATCCTCAGGGGCCCGTGTGCAGCCGGTCGCGCTGCGGTCACTCGTGCCCGCGCCCGCCCACGTGCTCGCGGGCGACCTCCCGGAGGAGCGGGTCACTCACCCGCTCCCGGGGCGGCGCTGCCCGCTAAGCTGCTGCCCCAGACGGAGCAGGACCGTCCTTGGCGGGTCTCCTTACAGGCATATTTGTTACCTTTTAATAGTGATTTCCTATGTAGGGAATGGGGTTAAAGCTTTACAGTTAGCTCACTGGCGCGACTTCCCGAGGCCGACTCAGCAGTGCTGCCCATCAGAGCAGCGGCCCACGTGCTTGGGTGTCTGGGCTCGCGGCTGGCACAGTGTTGGCAGGATTCCACAGAGATCCTGTCCACTGGGCGAGTCCCCCGGTGTCCAGAGGATGCCCCAAGCCCGGATTGACAATGGTGTTGTTAGGACTATTCCGCTAACCACACATTCTGTGAAGTCCAGAGCAAACGCCAGAGTGTCCTTATATAAGCCTGCTTGTGCCCCATGAGCCTAGCCAGGGTGATGGGCACCGTGGCCCCTCCAGAGCCCAGGCCCCAGAGGGAGCCCCTGCCTGCCCTGGTCCCTACCCAGCGGATGCACTCCCTGGCCAGGCAACCTAAGCTCAGCGCTTGGGCCAGCGTTCATTTTAAACATTGAAACAAACCCTTTCAATGTGCTCTCCTGCTTCACTACATCATGGGTGAGTACACGTTACTAAGCGCCTGACACTTCAAGACATTGTAACAACGATCCGTGTTTTGCCTCCTAAGGCTTTTTGGCAAACGGTAATAGAACTGCAAATGACTTGTGGTTCAGGCGTTTTGTATTGTACATATGGATATTACGAGCAAGGATTAGAACGTGTGCATTAAATAAACTGGAGAAAATCACACACAAACCAGTCAAACAGTGGTTACTCTGGATCTTCCAGTACCTAGGGCCAAAATCCCTGGGGTCATCCCAGCCTCCCCTCTCCATAACCAACAGAAACATCCAAAACCCAGCAGCTCCCCTCACTCGCATCTTCTCACCTATAGCCCTTTCAAACCACCACTATTTCTAGCATATTTTATTTTATTTATTTTTATTAAAGATTTTATTTATTCATAAGAGACAGACAGACAGAGGCGGAGGGAGAAGCAGGCTCCCCGCTGAGCAGGGAGCCCGATGCGGGACTCGATCCCAGGACTCTGGGATCATGACCTGAGCCGAAGGCAGACGCTTAACCATCTGAGCCACCCAGGTGCCCTCTAGCATATTTTAAAACTGCCTCCTAGCTAGTTTCCCACATTCCATTCTGGCCCTCTGGCATTTTCTCCACAGAGGAGCTTGTGAGTGATCCTTTAAAAAAAAATAAAGATTATGTCACCCTCCTGCTCAAAACTCTCCAGTGGCTTCCTTTCTCAAACTCAGGCTTACTATGACCTGCAAGTCCCTACACTGTCTGGTCCTTCTCCCTTTTTCTCCCACGTCATCTTGCACCTCATCCCCTAACCCAGCCTGCTCCAGCCAGAAGCATAGTGGGCACAGAGGGGCCTCAGGGCCTTCGCACTTGCTGTTCTAGCTGCTTGGATGCTCCTCCCCCACATACCCACATGGGTCACACCTTACCCACTCTCACACCTTAGTAAGGATGTTGCTCTATCTAAACTACAAACTTAACCCTCAACACTCCCCACTTCCATTCCCTGCTTTATTGTTCTCTTAGCATTTATCTCCATTGGTTTCCTAGGACCACAAACCGGGTGGCTTGTAACAGCAGAAATGTGTTCTCTTTCTTTCTCTAAAGGCTTAATGCCTGAAATCAAGGTGTTGGCAGGGCCATGCTCTCTCTCCGAGGTCTCTAGGGGAGGATCTGCTCCATAGCTTTCTCTTAGCTTCTGCTGTTTTCCTTGGCCTTCTTTGGCCTGTAGGTGCCTCACTCCATTCTCTACCTCTATCATTGCATGGAGCTTTCCCCATGTCTGTGTCTCCTCTTCTTGTCATAAGGATGCCATTCATACTGCATTAGGGTTCACCCTAATGGCCTCATGTTACCTTGATGACATCTGCAGAGACCCTATTTCCAAATAAGGCTAACATTCTATTGATATCCCGGGTTAGGACTTGAAGTTCATCTGGTGGGAGGGGGCGGGGAGCACAATTCAATCCACTGTGCCATCTCATGAATTTTATTTACCTTGTTTATCATGTGTGTCCTCTCACCCCATTAGAATCTAAGTTCTACAAGGAGGGGGCTCTTTATCTGTACTTTTCCCTGCTGTGTGCGAGCTTGAAGACTGTGACTGGCACATGGTAGGTCCTGGATGGACATTGGTGAAATGACCAACAGTCGGTTGACCAACTCAATGGGAATGAAAGCCTTGCCTGGCTTCCAGGATCTATCCACAGATTGCTATTTACTTCTTTCCAACATTTTAAGTTTGTTTTTCCCTACGGCCTCCTGCTTTATCTTTGCAGCTTGTCTCTAGGTAATCTCTCTAACTTGATTCATCAGCCATAGTCAACTGCTTATAATTAGATCCAGGGTTTCGTTATGTACGTATTTGATCATAAGTTTTTATGTAAATTAGAAGCAATATGTTTCTTTCTGCAAAGAAAAGAATTAATACTAAGTCAAATGTAGTCCCTGTTGCAGTCCCTGTGCCTCTGGGCAGAGGAGGTCTTTCTCACTGCTTATCAGTTCTCACAGATAAGCCCAGCTTTTTCCTTCTGTGGCCAAAACCAACTCTTCTCTCTCTCTCTCTCTCTCTCTCATGATGTTAGAGGTGGGGTAATATTAGAGATTATACTATGGTTTTAGTGATTCATTCTCATGAACAAATAGTTTCCAAAGCTTCGACTACCATGGACTTCCTGGGCCAGAATCAGATATGCTGGTTAAAAGGCAGATAGCAAGGGCTAACCCGATCTGAAGCTTACGCAGAGTGAGGTCCAGGAATCTGTGTCTTAAGTAAATTCCCTGGGCAATTTCAAGCACGGTAAAGCTTGAAAATCTTTGCCTAATTCAGGGTTCCCAAACTCCCAAGTTCTCAACAGGAACTGAGTAGGTTATGTAAGTAACTGAAAAAAATCAGGGTGTGTGTGCATTAGTCAGCTACTGCGGGCTAACAAACCACTCCCAAACACAGAGGCTCAAAGTGTTTAGTATTGCTCACAAGTCTGCAGATCAACTGTGTGGTTCTACTGAGCTGGTCAGACACAGCGGATCTTGGTTTACAGATCACTTCTAGGCTCCAGTCAGCTAGCAAGTGAGCTGAGGCTGGGTGGTCTAGAGTTGGGCCACACTCACATGGCGGGCAGTTGGCTGGCTGGCAGCTGGGACACCAGGGTTGACTGGCCCATGTGTTTCTCATTATCCAGCAGGCTAGCCCCAGCTTGTTCTCAGGGCGGCTGAAAAGGTTTCAAGAAAGCAAACAGACATGCCTGAAGTAAGAACTGGCACGCCTTCACTTCCTCACCATTCTGTGAGTCCAAGTAAGTGATGAGGCATTGATAAGATTCAAGAGGTGGGGAAATAGCCCCCACCTCCTGATGGAAGAAGCCGCAGTCACATTGCAAGGGGCGTGGGATGCTGGGAGGGGAATAACGGGGGCCCCAGTGTGACCTGAATGAGGAGTGGTGGGAACTGTAGGGTCCTGGAGAGCACCTGCCTGGTGTAAAGGAGTGTAAAGGCACTCTCCCACAGCGAGCAGGAATGCAGGACCCGCCAGGTGGTCAGTGATGTCAATTCTCAGGAGAACCTGGACATGCAGACGTGAGCCTGAATTCTCCCGGTCTGAAATGTCAACCTCTAGGCAGATGCTGCTGGTTGCCCACACAAGGTCTTTGTCCCCACTGCACCTTTCTGCTCTGGCTGGCAGAGCCCTGGTCCTGTTCAGGTATTTGCATGGCCAGGTATGCAGAAAGGGTCTCTGTTGCTCCCAGTGCTGTCGTTCTGTCTGCCGGTACCAACATAAGCTCAACACACACCTCCGTTCTAGAGAAGAAGGCTGCCAGGACCCTCCTGAGAAGGTCTTCCAGGAGAAGAAGAAGAGACCTACCAGAATACACTCCCTGTGTCACCGGTGGACACAGTTCTTTCTGTGTAGGATACCTGGTACCATTTCAGCCACCTTGAGACCAGAAGAGAGAGGTACCGGTGCCCTGGGAACCAGGACAAATATGGGAAAGATGGCCCCAAGCCCCAGCAATACTATACAATAGCCCCTTATCCAGACCACCCCCCCCTCACCCCCCCCACTGCAGAGGTTATCTGCAGTGATAACCTCTCCCGAATTGCTTTGTGTTCTGGGCAGGTCACTGTCATTTGCTGCAGAAAGCATCCGGTACTGCAACCCATTCAGAAAGTGCTAACATTCCGTGGAGGGCAGCCTGTAAGGCTCTGTGAGTAATGTCTACCTTGTGGGTAATCTCTGGTCACCAGAAGGCAAATAATATGATGGGGTGCAGCAGGTGGTGCCCTACTGGTTCTGTGTTCATTCGTGAAGAAAGTTTTCTTTCGGAGAGGTAGGTTCCTGCCTGCGAGGTGGATGCTGAGCTCTTTGAAAGTTTCAGGCACCAGTGCCACTCGTTAAAAGAAATCTTGAGAGTGAGTTCTTCTGTAAAACTATCTTCCTTTTATCCTTAATTATGGAAAGTTTCAAACTTGACAACATTGGAGAGACTATATCGAACCCCTTCAATAACTATCAACTCAAGGTCAAACTTGTTCACCAGTGTCCTCACCTGCTTTCTCCTTCTCCAATTATTTTGAAGCAAATCCCTGATAATATGTCCTTTCACCCACAAATAATTCAGTATGCATTAGTAAGTTATATGTGTTTTGAAACATAACTACAATGTTTCCACATCAAAGTAGTACTAATAATGTCTTACTTAATATCACCAAATATCTGATCCACAATAAATATCTTTGATTATCTTATAAAATTTTTTATTGGTGGTTTTGTCAAAAAAAAAAAAGTCTATATAGTGATTTGTATCTTCTAATGCTTTTAATCTGTGATTTCTCTGTCATCTTTTTTTTTTGGCGGGGGGCGGGGAATCTATTGTTGAAGAACATGGTTCATTTGTCCCACAGTCTGGATTTTGCCAATTATGTCTCCCTGTGGTATCATTTAACACATTCCCTGTCATCTATATTTTTCTGTAAATTAGCCGTTGAATCTAAGATCTTGATGGAATTCGGGTTCATTCAGTCTTTTATTGGCAAGCGCACTGCCGAGGTGCTGCTGTGTCCCTTTCCCAGCATCTGGTGCTCTCTTTGGTGACGTGAGTGTGACCTCCTTTGATGAGCACTGTCTCCAGCCCTGCTCCAGTGTTTCTGTGGGAGGAATTGTCCCCTTCAAACAGCACAGGATCCCAGGACTGCCCCTCTCACAGAAGTTGAGAAGCAGATGCCATGCAAATGGTCAGGTCAGACTCTTCGCTTTCCAGATGAGGATTCTGAGGCTGGCCCACAGCCAAGGCCCAATAGGGATGACCAAGTTTGGGGCTCAGGAAAGCAAATCCTATGAATTAGACCCCATAAAACATTAACTTTGCTGAGGGTTGCTGGAGTGGGGGGTGGGGTGGGAGGGATGGGGTGGCTGGGTGATAGACATTGGGGAGGGTATGTGCTATGGTGAGCGCTGTGAATTGTGCAAGACTGTTGAATCACAGATCTGTACCTCTGAAACAAATAATGCAATATATGTTAAGAAAAAAAAAAAAAGAAGACAGCAGGAGGGGAAGAATGAAGGGAGGGAAAATCAGAGAGGGAGACGAACCATGAGAGACGATGGACTCTGAAAAACAAACTGAGGGTTCTAGAGGGGAGGGGGGTGGGAGGATGGGTTAGCCTAGTGGTGGGTATTAAAGAGGGCACGTATTGAAAGGAGCACTGGGTGTTATACGCAAACAATGAATCGTGGAACACTACATCAAAAACTAATGATGCAATGTATGGTGATTAACATAACAATAAAAAATTTTTTAAAAAGAATATTTTCAAAGAGAAAAAAACCCAAAACATTAACTTTGGTATGTCACACAGAATATGACCTAATGGAACATGGCAGAATTGGGGAAATGGTCTGTAGGGAATCTAGACAGAGAGGGGCCCCCAAATTATGCTTGGATTCTTTTTGTCCAAAGAGGTACTCCCTGACCCTGGTAGGCACACATGGTCCTTCACTAGAAGGTGAGCTCTGTGGGAGGGGGCGGATTTCAAAGGGCCCCACCTAAAAAAAAAGGAGGGGGGTAAACTATGTGAGGAGGTGGATATGTTAACTAGCTTCACCATAGTAATCTGGTTGCTGTGTAAAGGTGTATTAAGTCACCATCTGGTATACCTTAAATATATGCAATTTTTATTAATATAAATGAGATGGAATTTTTAAAAAAATTCTTACAGAAGTTACAGCACATTTAAAAATATTGGTTTGAGAAAGCAGAAAATAGATATTTCAAAGTGCTTCAAGTTAATATTAATATTAAAGAGGTATAGAGAATATTAGAAGTATGTGAACACAGAAGATGGAAAGCCTCGGTTCTCTGTGATACCAATTTGTGTGGAATGTCGTGTTTCCTCACAGTGTAAGATTAATGAAGTATCATGCATATTCTCCACTTCAAAAGTCTCAATGACACTCTGGTTTCTCTTCAGATTGTATAAATCTTCCACCTTGTAAACATCTCAATGATAAAAAATAAAGAATAAACTAGTGGTAAATATTAGGAGCCAAGTTAAAAAAAAAAAAGGTCCCACCGAGAAATAGAAGAGACAGCCTTCATTTCTCCCCACAGTGACCTTCCAACTGGCTCCCTTACCTTATCCTCAGAGGAGGGCACCTGGAAATAAAAACCCCCAATCTGGGTTCTGAGCTGGCTCTCCGTTCATGTCCTCATGAGTCGGTTCTTCTAAAGGAACAGAAGACTTCCTAAAAGTGGCTATATTTGTTTCCTGGGGCTGCCCATAACGAATGACCACAAACTGGATGCATTAAAACAATAGAAATTGACTCTCTCACGGTTCTGGAGGCCAGAAGCCCAAGATCAAGTTGTCAGCAGGCCAAGCTGCCCTCCAGAGCCCCCAGGGGAGGGTCCCTCCTGCAGCTCCTGGTGGCTCCTGGTGGCTCCTGGCATCCCTGGGCATGTGGACGCGGTGTTCCACTCAGTGCCTCTTGCCCTCACGTGGCCTTCTCCCCAGGACTCTCTCTGTGCCCTCTCTCTTGTAAGGACCCCAGTCATGGGATTGAGGGCCCACCCCAAATCCAGGATCACTTCATCTCAAGATCCCAAATCAATTATATCTGCAAAGACCTTACTTCTAGATAAGGTCATATTCTGAGGTTCTAGGTGGACATGAATGGGGGGGGCACTATTCAACCTACTACAGGAACTCAAACAAAAGCCAAGTGTTCTTTCCGTCTCATAATAAGGAAGTGGCAGGTAGAGGGCCTTGGCTGTGCTCCAGGAGGCCTGAGCTGGCCCACCTGTGACTCTCCACCCCCGCCCCCAGCACTAGCCCTCATGCCTACAGTCAAGGAAGGAGGGAGGTTGAAGGAGGGTGGTGTTTGCTGCTTGTGACCCTTTCTATCAGAAAAGCAAAACTGTCTAAGAAACCCTCACACCAGACTTCCCCTTGTATCTCCTTGACTAGAACTGGTTATAAGGCTACCCTTACCGGCATGAAAGGCTGGGATATTAAGATACGGAATGATCCAGAATGGCTTAGACCAATCTCAAGATATTGCTTGTGTTGGGCATCTTGCCATGTTGAAAAAGCCTGGGTCTGTTAGCAAAGAGGCAGCAGCTGGTGGGTATGCAGTAGGCCCCATGTCTGCCACCCTGAATCTGTTCTGAATTTGGTCCCCACAACTCTGCTTCTGAGAGCCAGTTTGGACAAAATCTGGTTTCGAGTCAACGTTGACTAGGGTGACCTCATCAAGATAATGTGCCCTCTGATCTCTTGTTAGGGTTAGCAGAGGATTCCTCCTCTGACATGACCCTAGAGCAGGGCTTCTCATGTGGGGCCCATTTTGTTTCCTGGGGGACATTTGGCAATGTCCGGAGACATTTTTTATTGTCCTCACTGAGGGGTAGTTGTTGAGGCCCTGCTGTGTGTCAGCGACACAGTCAACCAACAGAGTCCCTGTGCCAAGTGTCCTCGTGCAGAAACACAGTGACCTGCGTGGTGTGCAGGTTCCTGGGGGGACACGGACGGGGTGTTGCCAGACTGATCCCACAAGATGCGGAGGAGTTAAGCCAACAGAGGGAAGTAGAGAGCGGAGAGATGGAAGGAGATTCCAGGAGGAGTGTGGAGAGAGAAACAGCCCAGAGGACAGAAGGGCCCAGAGCTCCTGTGGCCAGGCCCTGTGGGGGTTCACTGGTTGTGAAAAGGGCGTGCGGTTCCCCAGCAGCAAAGAAATGGCAAGTACCGATGTCGAAGAACACAGTCCGGGCGGAGATGCTCTTCTCTGCCCTTGTCCACT